TTTTTTTTTTTTGGTACAATAAATCTCTAAGATATTATTATCTAAATAACCGACATCTGAGTATATTAATATGTATCTATGTAATGATTCATGTAGGATTATAGTCCTACATGATTAAGGAAATCTCCTTTCTTGGAACAAGACATTAAATTCATTAATTATGGATTTGGGATTCGGGTTTACATTCTACACAACCTCTCTTACAAAATATCATTGACTATATATTTGCCTTGAATGTTAGAGTGTCTACATCAAGCCGTCCATGATACTATTCTACAGTTTGGTCCAGTTCGTGATTCGATCACGACCCAGTTCGACCAGAAGTCTTGGTGGTCCGATTTTTCGACCACATCACTTCCCAATATGTCACTTCCACAAAGATAAAGTGACAGCTCATATCATTTGAAAATTAACTATCATTCTTATATGTAAATGTTCATTTTATTGTACTAAGTTATTTCCTAGACTTTTTATTAGAAATAGACTGCCTAAAGGATTGATTAGTTCAACATTGAAAGATATATTTTTGGCATAAGTTCGAAAATAAGAATATTTGAAGATGTGTTCCTACAAGCACAAGGAAGTTTTTTATTTGTGTATACTCATGCACGGTTTTGTTTTAATTAATTTATTAAATTGCATGATCTCATTATGGACATATTTTGTAGGATCTTATTGGATGCTGGATGTGAGAGATGCGAATGCATGAAAAGATATCGAAGGAGATCAAAGTCAATATTTACTTTCCATGTTACTTCACTACATTTGGAAAGAGGATCAAGAAAATCACGAGAAGAAGGAAAGAACTTGTTGAAAAAGTTAACGCCTAAAAGATGTTATTTAAACCCTACTAGAAGATAAATTGGAGGTTGTTGAATCTCTGGTAATTCATGTCGATCAAGCTTCAATTGAGAGTTCAAGCTTTTTTGTTGTTTTCTATTAAATATTATGAATATTAATATTACAAGTAAAAAACTTAAATTATGTAAATATTATGTATATTGTATGTGTTTAACAGAAAAATAGTTTTAATTATTTAATTTGAAACAATAATTATTTTATGATACATAATAGATAAAATTAATTAATATAAAATGAATATTAATATTTTGTATGTTGTATGTGATTAACAGATAAATAGTTTTAATTCTTTTAAATCATATGCACAATGCATAATTGTATATTATTTAAATTCTACATGAATATGTTTATTTGTTTCAATTAATGGGTAAATGTACATAAATTTTATTTTACTTTTTTTTTCAAAAAAGAGAATGTATCATCATTCTACAGTTATGCGTGATTCACAAAATAAACGTCAAAATGCCCATAATATCCAGGTGACTTCACAAAGGATGACATTATCTGATATCACAAAAAGTAAATACTTTATTATTTATTTTACAAGGATGTTTTTAATAATATATGATTGTTTTCGTGACGAAACAATCTTTTTATTTTTTTTTTTTCCAAATGTTTCTACGTATTATAATTCTTTCGATCCTAATGATTACAAAATATTATATTATATTATTCTCCTAAATTCTCTAAAATTATACAGCCCCGTGCATCGCACGGGTGCTGTACTAGTAACTTATTAAGACATCAATTTTATTATATCGGGGTGTTGCCCAAACATTCAAATAGATTCTTTACATAAATAAATATATCAGCCGAGGCAGAGGCAGAAGTTGTCTCCACGATAGCAAGCTGCATCTCTAAACTTCTTTCCCAAGATTTTCTTACATTCTTTGACGCAAGCTGGGCGGCTACAAGGATTGACGATTATGCCGATAACACCTTCAACGACTCGAGGAC